TTCGTCCATTCCTTTTGCTCCAAACGTAAGCTATCCATTCCAAGCCCAATTTTGCTCCAAAATGCTCCAAAATGCACCTTTGTGCTTCCTTAGCCATATGAACCTAGAAACACACGAAAATGGCATAAAGGACTAAAATAACTAAAGAAACACAACGTAAATGCACGAGAACAAGCCAATTAAGTCGCATAAATATGCTCCTATCAACATCCAAACGAAAATGATAGTTCTGCGCAGCACCTTCCAGCTCCATTTATAATTTCCAAACAGCACCCATTAAATTGTGGATCGAACAAATTAGCATCTGATGATTGTTGGAATACTTCTTGACTTCAGTTCTTCTCAACTTTGATCCTTTTTAGCCTTAAAATCACCAAAAGACTCCAAAGTCTTTTCTACGGTCCATTATCTACAAAATACGCACTAGACACATCAAACAACCAATTTCACAAGAAAACATAGCATAAAACTTAGGAAATATGGGCAATATAAATGTATATATATTTTGTTATCAGTTCACATCGCACCGTACACTCACTTTGGATCCATTGTAGTTGCCAGTCTTGTTCTAAATTGCTATAGGCAATTAGGACTCGTATGTGATGCGAATAGCGCCAGTTTTCATGTGATTTTAGTACTAAAGCGTATATCATTATTACACCTAGTGTTGTTCATGTCAAAATATCTCTGCATGAACTCGTGTGTCAGCATATGTTGATGAGCATTCGATATGTTATGTTTGTTTATGTGAGATTATGTGATTACTTGACGATAGATATTTATTTACGAAATATTATGACTTATTGAATTCTTGAGATATTACAGGCTACGATAAGTATTTTCATACTATACGTAGTATGTATATTTTGGAAACTATACTTGTTTTACAGCGAAGGGTTATTATGTTTTCGAAAAGGTTTTTATAAAGCTTTTTTTTTAGGTCCACTCACCCTTATTTTTCGCCCCTCCAGGTTTTAGTAGCTGAGCTTTTGTGTCAACGAGGATTCTTGGTAAACTTTGGTATAGGTTATTACCTTTACTGTACTTTACTTATACTCTGATATCACGTGTGAATTGGGTTCACTCTCACTCACATGTGCACTTACATTTAGGCACTTTTAAGTTTAAATTTATTCACATATTCCACCTCACTACACTTTATGGCTTTGTCACCTTTTGAGTGTCAGCCAGCACAGCTCGATTTAGATCCAGGTGGACATTTCGGGTCGAGGTGTGTCATTTAACATGATGGTGGAATGGTGTTGGAAAGCATGTGATGTATGTGAATGACGAAATGACAATTTTGGGTTGGTATATGGTTGTTATGTGATTTGAAAATTTATGTTTTCTGTTAGGAAATACTACGAGGAATGTCGGAGATTAACAGAAGATAAACTACGAATGGCTTGATCTCATCTTAGGATATGTAGGCAGTCTAAGATAGAGGTTAGATGCTGCATGAGATAAGGAAAAATTACTACGTTGCTAAACCGTTGACTTGTTTTGGTCATGTCTCGAAGGCGGGGCATGATAGAGGAACAATTGCTTGGTGACGTCACGTATCGATCCTGGACGTATTTTGAGATTGGGGCGTGACATATTTTGTTGTAGATATTTACATAAACTAATTTTTTTCAATGTAATATATTCCGATACAATTTTTGTTCTTCATTTAGGTACACTAGTTCATTTAATATATTTTGGTATACCCATTGATACAGACATTTAGCTAGGTACATTATTCTTTATAATACATTTTGGTACATGCATTTTGGTACATACATTTAGGCATTGAAGTTTAGGTGCATTAATTCGATATATTACATTTTGTGACATATCTTTCAGTACAAACATTTGGTACATACATTTCGGTACATCCAATTAGGTATAGAAATTTCGGTACAAAGAAGTCAATTTAATACATTTCAGTATAGTCATTTATGTACACTTATGTATTTACATATTTTTCTTATGTGTCACTAATTTTTTTTAGGGAGTTTTAACGAAAAGTTCACGGTACTGTTTACTTTAACGAAAAATCATATTTTTACACTAAAAAGTCAATCATGGTACTATTTATTTTACCCTTTATTTTGTCCTTGTCATTAAAACTCAAAGTTTTCAAACCCTTTTTGTCACATCTCGGCTCGGGACGGATCACTTCTCGGGCCCGCTCCACCACCGTAGCACGATATTGTCCGCTTTGGGCTTACCATTCCCTTACGGTTTTGTTTTTGGGAACTCACGAGCAACTTCCACCCATCATGGGATTGCTCTAGCCTCCTTCTCGCTTAACTTCGGAGTTCCGATGGAACCCGAAGCCAGTGAGCTCCCAAAAGGCCTTGTGTTATGTAGGGATGAGAATATACATATAAGGATCACCCCCTGGACGAGGTGGGATGTCACAATCCACCCTCCTTAGTGCCCTAACGTCCTCGTCGGCACACACGCGACCAGGGTTAGGCTCTGATACCAATTGTCACATCCCGGTCCGGGGCGGATCACTTCCCGGGCCCGCTCCACCACCGTAGCACGATATTGTCCGCTTTGGGCTTACCATTCCCTCACGGTTTTGTTTTTGGAAACTCACGAGCAACTTCCTAGTGGGTCACCCATCATAGGATTGCTCTAGCCTGCTTCTCGCTTAACTTCGGAGTTCTTACAGAACCCGAAGCCAGTGAGCTCCCAAAAGACCTCGTGCTAGGTAGGGATGAGAATATACATATAAGGATCACCCCTTGGACGATGTGGGATGTCACACTTTTCATTAGTTTATTTTTTTATTTTTTTATTGTCTTCTATTAATAAAATCAAAAATTTTTATGTGCAGACATTAAATAAAAATACCCATTAAATAAAAAAATAGAATATAAATGTAATAAATGTACACTTTAAAGAATTAAAATCAACATGTAATTTGACACCCAATTTTTTTTTTTTAAAAATTCTAATCGTTTTTAAGGACTAATGTTCACAGAGCCCCTTAAAATTATGAGTATGAAGACGGAAATGATAATGGCATACCGATCACTGTTGTAACTCATTGTCATTCCTAAGTTTTATTGGCCTTAAAAATAACCATTACCCCCTTATCCTCTTAATTGGTAAAGATACCTTGACTTTATACATTTGGTCAGGATACTTTTTTTTAGGAGAATATATGCATGGCTCCTTCTTTTAGAAATTAGAATTTTCACATTTTTATCAATTATATATGGTTTAATATGCATATATACAATTTTGTTTTTATAATATAATAAGTTATTTTGGTATATGTGTCAAACTATAATTTACAATTATAAAGGGAATTGTTATTAGCACTCTAAAAATCTCATTCTACACTCCAAACTTTTTATATTAGTAAAGAAAAAGAAAAATACACTTGTGAGAAGTGTAAAATGAGATTTTTGGAGTGCTAATAACATTTCCCATTATAAGATAGATTATCAAGATAGTATAGTGCTACTTTTTAATGGAACATTGTTCAATTTTTTTTTCTCAGTAATTGAAAGTTTTTTTTTTGTTAGTACTACAATCTAGTAATATTTCTCTTTATTTATAAATGAAAGGTCTTAGGTTCGGTTCATATCAAAAGTGAATTTGAAACATATTATCACTAGCCTGTTGTAAGACTTAATCCACTTTTCTTTCTTTTAGTGTAAATAATATCGTTTGTTAAAAAAAAAAATGTTATATTTTTTATTGAAATATAATAATCATAAAAGACAAAGGAGGTTCAAAAGTGGAAGAAAGGAGGGGGTGGTCACCTACCGCCACGCCTAAATGGCAAGTTCATCCCAATCTCACCAACTTATTTTTCGAGTTGGAATGATAGTGGTCCCCTTCTAAAAAAAGAAGGTGGTGATGCATGATCATGTCCGATTTCTGTTTGACTCTTCATAATGAGTGATTTTTCACACTTACAAATCATAGTTTGGTAAATAAAAATATATGATTAAAATTACAATAAGAAAAATTTATCACGTTTCAAGTAAAAATTTATTTAAATAAACAATAACTTTTCATGTGTAAGAAATCAAGTATTTTTCTTTATGAAATTAAATACATTTTTTTAGTACATTTGTACTAAGAGGTAGAAGGGAGTTCGGTTAAGCCACACAATTGACAACTTAATTTGGTATCGAATTCGTCATCAACGAGATTCGAACTTAAGACATCTCACTCTTAAAACATATACTATCATACTATAGACTCCACATCGTACAGTTTCTCCTTTACGTTTAAGTGAAGATAAAGCGCATAAATTATTTGCCTTGTGTGCTCAATATTAATTCCCTAAATTTGGTAAAGAAATTCAAGAAAAATCTTAGTGAATGTACGAAGATACATGATGATATTGGCAAAATTTTAGCCGAAATTCCACCAATAGAAGAGAAAATAACGATGACGTGATAATTACAAAAAATGCTGTCACCAAAACCCAACCACAACACCATAAGTCCTACAACATCGATGGTGGACAAGGATCTTTTTTGTTGGAATCCAGGAATTAATTAATCTTGTTCGTTCATCATACATCATCTGATCAATTTTTGTTAGGTACTATTTATATTTAATATAAAATTTAAAATAATTTCTAACCGTACTATGTACGATGAACGGATATGATTGATTGATCATCCGAATCCTTATAAAGAGGATCCGAATCCTAAGCAGAGGGTCTGAATCCTACTGACCAAGGAACACGGACTGTTGGATCAACATCCAACGACTATAAACAAGGAACTCTCTAAAAATTATAATAATTGTAACTGTTGGATATCCAACGGTTTGTGTTCCTTGATTAGCAGGATTCGGACCACTGCTCAGAAGAGGATCCAAATCCTACGATGATACCATTTACCAGATCAGTGGGCCCCATTTGACTCGCATAAGTTCTGAAGGCCTAATCACCCACCAACCCCGGACCGGTTTCTGGTGGCAGGTCGAACCAACCATCCCGTTCGAACCGGAGACTCGATTCCATATATACCTTCTTCTTTCCTCTTTCAATTCAGGTTCATCTTCCTGTGTGTAACCTTTCAGTCATATAAGAGAAGAAAATCTGGTGCAATCCAAAGCAAAGTAAAAGAAGAGAAGAAAAAGAAAAAACACAGAGCAGCAATGGCAGCCAATGGAGAGGAGCAACAAACTCAGGCAGGGAGGCACCAAGAGGTTGGCCACAAGAGCCTTCTCCAAAGTGATGCTCTTTACCAGGTACATGTTTTCATAATATCAAACGCGATGTTTGTTTCAAGCGATATTCTAATCTAGTATATATTGCGATGAGAAAATTTAAACTTGGGTGTCGAGGGCATGCTGTCCCTGTCAACTTGTCTACGTCTAAATTACAAAATTTGGAAGGTGATTAAGTTTTATGATGAAGCTCATGTTTTGGTTTTTGGGTTTGGATTTTTGTGCAGTATATATTGGAGACGAGTGTGTACCCAAGGGAGCCTGAATCCATGAAGGAGCTCAGAGAAGTAACTGCAAAGCATCCATGGTTTGTGAATTTTGGTTTAATTTTCATCAATTAAACCTAATTAAATTAACTAAATTCAGGATTTTTTTAGGAGATTAATTTTCGGATATTATTTTCTTAATTTTTTGTTTATAATTTGTTTTTTTTTTAAATGGAAAATAAATAGGAACATCATGACCACATCAGCTGATGAAGGGCAATTCTTGAACATGCTTCTCAAGTTGATCAATGCCAAAAACACCATGGAAATTGGAGTTTACACCGGCTACTCCCTCCTGGCCACCGCCCTTGCCATTCCTGATGATGGAAAGGTATATTTTCAATGCCTCACCTTCAATAAAAAATACCCAAAAATGTTTATAAAAAATTTGGATATAATTGTTTTTGTTTATTGATTTGGGATCACAGATCTTGGCCATGGACATAAACAAGGAAAACTATGAATTGGGTCTTCCAATCATCGAAAAGGCCGGTGTTGCCCACAAGATCGACTTCAGAGAAGGCCCTGCCCTCCCGGTGCTCGATCTATTGGTCGAAGATGTAAATACTTAATTCTCAAAAATTGTTCAGCAGCAGTCTGACATGTTATGTCGTTTTTTTCTTTTTTTTTTTTTTTACAGAAGCATGTTTATACTGTTAGAATTAAAATACTTTGTTTTGACGAGACAAAATACATCGTACATATACACTCGATCATATTCTTGGGGACTCACAATTAATGTGCTATTGCAGAAGAAGAATTATGGATCATTCGATTTCATCTTCGTGGATGCTGACAAAGACAACTACATCAACTACCACAAGAGGCTGATCGATTTGGTTAAGGTTGGGGGTTTGATCGGCTACGACAACACCCTATGGAATGGCTCTGTGGTCGCACCCCCTGATGCCCCACTGCGCAAGTACGTCAGGTACTACAGGGACTTCGTCCTCGAGCTCAACAAGGCACTCGCTGCTGACCCTAGGATCGAGATCTGCATGCTTCCCGTTGGTGATGGCATCACTCTCTGCCGTCGAATCAAATGAACCACCAACCCTAATTGGCCTGCCAATCATATATGATGAAGAAAAAATGTGTTTCTTTTTATTATTTTTCTTAATCTACTTTGTATTTGTATTTGGATGGTTCATCGTCAACGTTCATGTCGGAGAATTATTATAAGGCAAAAAGAAAAAAAATATTATAAGGCAAAATCGCATGTTAAAATTTATTGCCATGCATAATTATATATTACATCAAATTCTTTCTGGGATAAATTGCTTTTGAAGTAAACATACAAACACAGAAGATGGTTGGTGAAGTATGACCAAAACAAGTAAAAAAATTAAGTTGCCTGGACACATATAAAACACAAATTTAATTTTTGTTCACTTCAGCCACTTAGTACTACGGTCTAGTGGTATTTCTCTTCATTTCTAAGTAAGGAGTTCTAGGTTCGATTCTTGTCAAAGAAGAATTTGAAACACATTAATATGGCTAGCCTATTATGAGGCATGACCCACTTCCCCACTCCTTAATGTAGATAATATCGTTTGTTTTAAGAAAAAAAATTGTTCACGTCCTTAGGACCTACCATTTTACTATCTCCCAACAAGAAAAATGACGTTTAAGCCTAAGTTTATGAGTATCTATATCTAAAACTATAGATCAATTGATATGGTAAGAAAATTTGATTGAAGAAAGTTTTGAATTCAAATTTGGTAGACATATATGAGTTAAATAAAAAATAAGCATTTAACTGAAAGATGGTGAAAGTCCAATGTAGGTGGGTGTACATACTTATACAAAAATGAAAAAGATAATTGAAGAGATTAACTGCTACATTATAGAGAGGGCCATAATATTGGTAAGAAAATGACATATTTTGTCGTCTCTTTTTCTATTTGTCCATATCCATTTGGTGCTATATATTTGTTGAAAGTTGCAGGAACTGTAAATTAAATAAAATGAATAAAAAAAAATGACAGCCACTCGACGCGTCTTAATAATTCTTCTAGTTTAACAATGCCAGAATCTGGCAGTCCCTAAAATTTGATAATGATAATGCTAATGATTTTTAATCAATTAATTTGATGTTAACAAAGTGGTGAAGATACCGAACGTTACTTCCTCGAAGATGGTTGAAGTAGCAGCAGCTAGAGATGGTGTCTCTTTGGCCTTGGAACAAAACTAGCGGCACACATCATCCTGGAAGGGGACGCATTACAGGTTGTCCAAGCCATTGGCAGCCACCGGGCTGGGTCGTTGAGGATATTAAACTAGCCTTCGACGCTTTGTTGATTCTAAAGTCAGTCATGTATGCAAATCAGCCAATGTAGCAGTTCATCGAATGGTTAAATTGACCTTATTTTCAGATTTTTTTTCAGTTGTTAGTTTGAGGAGTCCTGATTTACTTCAGAATGTCCTTTTGAGAACTGTATGTTTTCTTAATAATCAATAAAGATTCTTTCGTTTTTTTATTTTTATTTTTTTATTTTTTTAAATGGGAGTGGTCAAGAATGGTCATCTAATATTGGTAGAATAATATTCATGGCGGGGCCCCCATCCACTAAGTCACCAACCCACCAACCCTTTTTCACTTTTTTTTTTTTTAACTTTTAAGTTCACTATAATTCCTTTAGGTTGAGACTTGGTTGGTGAGCCACTTTAATCTAAGTTATGTTGAGATGTCATATCTACATATTTTATTTTATTTTTCACACATATTTTTAATTTTTGGTTGTCAGATTGAATGAATTGAAGAAGATCAACATATAAAAATTATCAAGGGATATGTAAGAAATAAAATGAAATGTGTGGCTAGCACATCCCTTTTATGTTTATGTTGGAATAAAAAATCAATAGTATAAGAGGCACCAATATTTTTCATCAAGTTTATTCACCGAAAATTCCAATTAATGTTGTTGTACACATGGTTAGAGGCTTATTTGTTGGAAATAACTCAAGGTGGATTTATATTTGAATAAATGACAAGCTAGCATACTATTTAATTTGAATCGAAAACTTAGTGAAAAAAGTTAATGTCTATAGTATTACTCTAATTATATATGTCAATAGTGCTACTGATTACGCTTGTTGGATCACCATTGCGGAGACGGAAATCATGGCTCTAAGCACCAGCAGAAAACCCTAAACAGAAATCCCTCTCTTTGTTTTTTTGATGCATATCTTCAGAGCATCTTCAATGAGATATGTTGGTTAACCAAAAAACACGTCAATGAAAGGATGTAAAATATTCATCTTGGCTGGAAAATATAAATAAATATTTCTAAAGTAATACTCTATAAATGATTAACATTCTTAAAATCATAATTTTTTTTATTTTAGTCCAAACTTTGGACTAGTTATGTATAAGAATAAAATCCATATTGTAATAAGTTATAATTTTTCTTTATCCCATCTAAAGGAAACACACCTCCATATTGACACACCCCGATCAAGATCAGGGCATGCTGGCCGTCACGTGGAAGTGACGTAACCATGTGCACAGTATGGAAGCTAATAAAATAATAATGTAAGTAGTACGAATAATTAAAAACTAGCGTTACACAAAGCAATAAAACAAGTGCAAACGAGTGTGAATCCTAAGTTCAGAGCAAGAACGCCTAATGCAGTCCAAAAGGAAACAATACGACAAAAGCACACTCGAAGGTGGTCCTACGCTGGTGGTGGTCTGTCAGATATGCCGGGAAAGTCCTCAGGGAATCCACCAAACGTGCTAGCCAACTAGAACCTGAAGGGGCGCAAAACAAAAGCGTGAGTGGGCAAAAACAAAGTTTTTCGAAAACCAATTTAATAAATAAGTTCTAACCCCTCGCCGTAAAACCTGTATACTTCCCAGAAAATAGTATATATATACATATATCATGCTCGAAAAGCGTGCCATACTATATGCCTCGAAGTAATATGCAAATGCTCAGGAAACATCAAACAATAACAAGTAACTGTCAGCCGGAGTCACCTAACGTGACCTGTACGGCTGAATCTAGAGCTCGAATCTCCAACTCACTAACTATACCTGCACACGAGTTGGAACCACCTACAGACCATGCTTGTGTGTAATATAAGTACGCTCTAGTGCTACGATCACGTGAAGGCTGGGCGAATAATCGCGGGTCACCTACGAGTCGGAACCACCTAAAATGGTCTGTACGACAGGACTGTGCACCTAACTTGGATCCAAGATGAGCGTGTGGTGCGGGAGGTGAACATCACGTGAAGGACTGTGCCTTACTCTGGGCGGGAGCACTAACTCCGGGGGTGCAGGTTACGAGCTCACTAAGTCTCAAAAATCACTATTGGATGTAAATATAAAGTCATACCCACCTGGCACTTACCTGTGCGTCCGTGGCACCAATGCACATGCATATATATATATATATATATATATAACAAATAATGCATAACAATGGCAACGTAATGCATGACAAATAACGAACAAACGATTCAAAAATCAATTTCTGGGAAAAGTATAAGTATATAGGTATATACAGAAAACCAAAAGCCCACTCATTGGTAAGTGGAAGGGTCGTAACCCCCCTGCCTCGAGTGACCACGCTCGTCCTCGGGATACGTCTCACCTATATGCGAAACAACTATAAAAACGTTAATTTTAAAGCACATAACCAACCTTTAGAAATAACTTCTCATACAATGCTCAAATGGGGTGTATGAATACACCAACGTGATCTACTCAACCTCAGGAACATCCCCATATTTTTAAAATAATTTTTCACCATCGCACGCGCCCCCACGCGCCGGGCAAGGCACGGCCACACGCGCCGGCCACGCGCAGGCACGTGCCTGGCACGCTGACGGCATCAACTGACGCCGTCAGGAATATTCCGTTATCTATAACGGTTTCCGTCAACGGCGTCAGGAATATTACGTCAGATTTGACGGAATATTCCGTCGTCTTCTCCGACGAGCCTCCGAGGCCGGCGCTGGCGCCGGAAAATCGGGAAAACTTTAAAACGTCCTATCTTCTTCGTTTTTCAACCAAATTTCACAAAATTGGTACCAACATGAAACTTAAAACGAGAGAAACACAATCATACCACTTTCAAGTGTTAAAATCCACAAAATCTCACCTGAAAATTCACCCCAACTCCGGCCAACCTCGAAACTCGTGATCCCGATGTCCAAAACCTTCAAACGAACCACCCCGAGCCTCCTAGGGACCTCACCAAGCTTCTTACAAGCTTGAAATTCCCTAAAACGTAATCACGTGTGCATGAACACTACCAAAATCGGGCAACCCGAGTTCAACGTGAAAACGAAGGTATTCTTACCTGAAATGGGTATGGTTGGACTCCTACGAGCCTCACGAGCATGGATATATACTTTATACCCTCGATCTGTGAAGGTTTGATAGGTTTGTGTGTGTGTCCGTGCGATGGAGGAGGAAATGGGAAGGGAACTGGGCACGGGATAGGGTGCAGGGTAGGGGAGAAGGGTGTGGGAGTAGGTTAGTGTGTGTTTGGCCCAGAAACATGCCAACAAGGAACCCAAAAACCAATAAACGTAAAGAAATCGCACTAGGGGTAAAATCGTCTTTTCATGCGTACGTTTTTTTTTTTTTAAATTCCCGGGACAGGCTGTCACAATATAATTATAATTTTGCTTACAGTTGAGGTTTGATGCTTTCTTTTTGCACAATTCAACATGAATATTTTCAGATAATTAATTTTTCATATTGATCTTGGGTGGCAAGGCTGCTTTGATAAAGGAAATAGGAAAGGTATTTAACCCACTTTATACGTGGAACGGCTTTGGCCATCAAACAACAAGGCCATGGAGTACAAGTAAAGAAAGAATATATGTGCGAGAAATAAAATACTTGACGCCTAAGGAATTCTATTTTGGAAATACACTTATTAAGGATAAATACATAAAAAATTAATATTTTTTAGCTGCACCTCTGTTAAGTAATAACCTCCCTAAAGAAGATCCGACCCTAACTTTGTTGTAAATTCTTTCCTGAATTTGTAAATTGACAAAAATGCCTCTGTTGGGCTAAATTGAATCCTATGTCAACTTTTGAGCTCATTTCATATTTTGTCTCATTTCTTTCCATATTCTTGTACTACTCTGTTACTACGAACGCTTCAACGTAAACAGGACATAATTTAAAGCTAAAATGAAGATTTTACAAAGTACGGAGCATCAGAGGCAAAATAATAATTTTCCTCATGGGACTGTTTTGGAAAA